GGGGGGGAGGGCGCACAGCGCTGTAGGGGTGAAATGGAACTCGCTAGTTCCTCTCATGCGCGACCGAAAATAGTGGGAGTGCAGCAATCAATAGACATTAGCGGGCGAGAGCTGCCACGGGGGAGCAGTGCGAAAGAGAGAGATAGCGACAGAGCGTGTGTCGATGTGTGTTTGTGTGTGAAGGAGAGGGAGAGGGAGTTGGAGAGAGAGAGAGAGAGAGAGAGAGAGAGAGAGAGAGAGAGAGAGAGAGAGAGAGAGAGAGACAGAGTGTGTGTGTCCACTACCGCCATAACGATACTTCAGTGCTCTAAACATCAATGATGACGCACTTGTAGAAGCGGTCCCCCGTCTCCCAGCGCGAGTCGCCCAGGCCGGAGCCCTCGCACGACAGCTTGGTGTTGAGCGACAGGTTGGCGTTGCGTGGGTCGTTGACGAAGTCCTCGACGCCGTACGCGTACACCTTGATGGCCGTGGTGATCTCCGTGACCAGCGACGTGCTCGACGTGTCGAAGTGCACCCCTGCAACAGATGTAATCAGGCCGAGTGTCAGTGGTGGGCGGCGGTAACGAAGAGCCCCGGCAAGCGGTCGAATCTGAATTTCAAATCGCGCGGGTCGAGTTTGACGGGCGGTGGGGCGGCGGGAGCGCCTGACAATAGCCGGGTAGGCAACGACGACGCACCACTGCGAGCGACGGCAGCCGGTTGCCCACCCCACGGGCGCTCCCGCGCCACAGGACCGACACCAACACTGGGAGGGCGCGCGCCCGAAAGAGGAGAATGAAAAGACTTAATAGTCGCGCAGGGGCTGGTCGGCGGGTGGGGCAGGGCAGGGGCGAGCGCAGCCACCGCCGGGACGCTGCTTGACAAACGGAATGGGAGCGCGGAGCCCCACGCTGACGCTGATGTGGTCGGCGAAGTGGCAGCTGCAGCCGAAAGAAGTTGCCTGTCTGTTACCAGCAGGTAAAGGGTCTAGTGGAACTCGTTTGGTTTTCAAAACTTTGCTCTTTTTTCTCGACTCCATTTGAAAAATATGAGTTCTCTTTTATCTGCGTTTGGGCGACTCGATGACTCACCTAGCATGCCAACGGGAAACTGCGTGGGCGGCGTGCCCGTGGCGATGACAGACTGCGCCGCCACCCACACGTAGTTCTCGCCGGTGATCTTGAGCTCGCGTGCGTTGTTCAGGATGTGGATGGCTTCCTCACGCGTGCAGTAGAGAAGCATGACGCGTGACTCGGAGTTGACTAGCTCCACCAAGTCACTCGCGCGCGTGTAGAGCACAGCGTTGAGGATGGTGAACCTGAGGGGCAAACAGATCAGGAGTCCTTAGTTCACAGTTTATTCTTGAAGTTCATTCACAGGCTCTGTTCTGAAATGTTCTGCTTGCAGGAGAAAGCCTTGAAATCAACTCCGGTATTCCAGCGATCGGTTGATGTTGCTTTTACACCAAGCCCCAAAGACCTCACAGCAGGCGTCTGATCCAAGGGAGTGTCCAACAGCAGAGTTGCAGACTGACACACCGTTGAACATTTGCACACTTTGGTATCAATGTAGGATGCCCGTCCATCAAATCCATAATTTCCGAATTAAAAGGAAAACTTTTCACTGTGTCTGGCTCGGAGTCAGGACAACGTTAGGAAGACCGGCAGCGCACACAAACAACGCATTCCTTAATGAATGAAAGCCCAGAGATGCGATTGCACCCGCGGGATGTCTGGGACGAGGAGGGGGTGGGTTGGACGAGCACGACGATGAGGAAGCGGGCGAGGATGGGGGAGAGAAGGCGCTGCCCTATAGAAATGGGTCAGGATGTTAATTGCTGGGTCCAAATGGTATAGCCGGGCCGAGAAAGCGCGGAGCTGGAGACGCATCCCTAAACGGGGGCAGGATAAGACGAAGATAGCGAGAGAGAAAGAGAGAAGGGGAGAGGAAGCAAGAGAGGGAGATGGAGAGACAAAGGGAGCGAGAGGGGGTGAAAGAGAGGGCGTCAGAGCGAGAGAGCGAGAGAGCAAGAGAAACAGAAACAAAGGGCGAGAGAAAGAGAGAGAGGGAGAGTGCAAGGAGCGAGAGAGAAAGGGAAATCTGCTTCGAGAGATAACCTCCTCTCTGCCCACGCAGCCCACCGCGGTGCGGCTGCCGCCCCCCCC